AGATAGTGCAAAAGATGAGGGTTGGAAATGTAGGGAAGGGTCAGATCACAGAATCTTGTATGCCATGTTCGGATAAAGAATTTAGATATTATGTAATGAAACCTGTCTTGAAACAGGAGAATGCTGAATTTTTTTAAATGTTTTTATTGATTTTAGAGAGAGAGGAAGGGAGAGGGAGAGAAACATCTCTGTGAGAGAGTAATATCAATTGGCTACCTCCTGCTTGCCCCCAATTGGGGATTGAGCCTACAGCCCTGGGCATGTGCCCTGACTGAGAATTGAACTGGCAACCCTTTGGTGCTCAACCAGCTGAGCCACACCAGCCAGGGCAAGAATGTTGAATTTTGGAATAAGTATTCTGATGATTGTGGAGTATGGGAATAATTGAAAAGGTCGTAGTAATTCCAGGAGTGGGGGAAATTCCTTCCCCAGTTTTCCAGGACCAAAGGAAAATAGACAAAAAGTGAGAAGATGAAGATATCCGTTGTAGATTACTTTTTCAAGAAGCTTAGTTGTCAAGATAAGGGATAGCTACCTTTATATTTCTTCCTATCTCAGGGAAGAGGTATTCCTCCCATCCAATACTAAACATTCTATCTGCTCTGAATCCCAGACCCCACGCATGTCCCCCGATTCTGTTTCTTCTGCCTCTGACTCTCCATTGGGTCTTTCCTTTGAGCAGATAAACATAGTTAAGTCTCTGATCTTAAAAATAACCCAGCTCAGCCGGTGTGGCTCTGTGGTTAAGCATCAACCTATGAATCAAGAGGTCGCCAGTTTGATTCCTGGTCAGGGCATATGCCTGGGCTCAATCCTCAGTAGGGGACGTGTAGGAGGCAGCTAATCAAAGTTTCTTTCTCTTTATCCTTTTCCCTTCCTCTCTCCCTAAAATCAATAAAAACATGAAAAAACACAAAACAAGCAATTCTCCCTTACTCCTCCTTCCTATATATTGTGAGTTTCATATGAGAGATGACTAGAAGTTTAACAAAGGCAGGGACTTAAAAGGAGGAGGTGTTTTTTTTTGCCTCAATGAAGTGATGATATTGGAAGTGGTAATGGGGAGCTAACGACTGAACTTTTTTTCTCTGCTGGAGTAGTAGAGTGTGGATTAATGAGGAGTGTTCACTTTGAAAAATGTGTTTGAGAAATGTCCTTCAGGGGAACTAAGATTTAATTAAACTAGAGAGATGAAGACAAGAGTTCTTTGTTTGTTTTTTTTTTTTTTTTTAAATATATTTTATCGATTTTTTACAGAGAGGAAGGGAGAAAGATAGAGAGTTAGAAACATCGATGAGAGAGAGACATCGATCGGCTGCCTCCTGCACATCTCCCACTGGGGATGTGCCCACACCCCAGGTACATGCCCTTCACCGGAATCGAACCTGGGACCTTTCAGTCCGAAGGCTGACGCTCTATCCACTGAGCCAAACCGGTTTCGGCAAGACAAGAGTTCTTTGAACAAAGAGTAAAATGGGGGCAGGAGGGGTGGATTTTTTTTTTTTTTTTTTTTTTTTTTGCTTGTAATGGGAATTCTAGAGGCCTCAGTGAAAAAGATTCAGAGGGAGGAGAACAGCCAGAGGATGGCATGGAATAGGTGAAAGAAATACAGAGAGCCCAGCCAGTGTGGCTCAGTGATTGAAAGTTGACCTATGAACCAGAAAGTCATGGTTTGATTCCCCATCAGGGCACATGTCCTGGTTGTGGGCTTTATCCCCTGTAGGGAGCATGCAGGAGGCATCCAATCAGTAATGCTCATCATTGATGTTTCTATCTCTCTCATCCCCTTCCCTTCCTCTCTGAAATCAATAAAAAAAAATATTTTAAGTTAAAAAAATACAAAGAAAAATTCAGAAGTATAGATGACAGGGGGGACTTCATTTTACGTCGTTGCCAATAGCACGGGCATCTGAATGGTACTTTGGAGTAAAGTTGTTCATTTGGCACCGGCTGCAACCCAATTGGTGTTGGAAGCCTCAGGGGGCCTAATCGTTTGCAGCCTTTGCTTATACTTGGGGAACACGATTAATTTTCAGGATTTCTTACTCAGTAGTAGAAAAAGTAAGATCTCTGTCCCTCCCACATCCCTGATCAATCTGTGTTCCTGGTTTATTTTTCCAACTTCCTAAATTAAATCTTTTTTAGGCCTTGTTTTTTAGCACCAATACATTAAATCTGAATGAAATACCCGGTGCATGGTATTGATTACTAAGAACATATGCTCATCATGGTAAAATTTGGGTTAAAGTTTTTGAACAGGACAGTTTGATCAAAATGAATATTATCAAATCAGGTTTGCTAGTGTTGGAAACTTGGTGATTTGATGTGATTTTATAGCCCTTTAGGTTGTTCCAGCTAATCCTCCATTTTAGCCATTTCAATTATTGATCACTTACATTACAATTACATACATTTATGTTCTGGTTTTTCCCTATCACAAATATAGAGGAGCAGGAAAAATAGTCTGAAAATAAGGAGAAAAATGTATAGGAAGAAAAACCTAGGAAAGCAGGAATAATGGACTGAAGATGAAATAGAAATAAAAAAGAAAAACCTCTTAAAAGCCTGAAAATAGATGGAAATGCTTTAAAATTAGAAGTTGCCAAACAAAGTAGTAATTTGAGAATATTAATTTTTAGAATATTTTTATTGATTGATTTTAGAGAGAAAGAACGCGTGAAACATCGATTTATTGTTTTACTTTAGGTATTCATTGGTTGATTCTTGTATGTGCCCTACCGAGGGATCAAACTTGAAACCTTAGCGTATTGGAATAATGCTCTCCAGTTCCATCCATGCCGTTGCAAATGGTAAGAGTTCCTTCCTTTTTAGAGCAGCATAGTATTCCATCGTGTAGATGTACCACAGTTTTCTAATCCATGCATCTGCTGATGGGCACTTAGGCTGTTTCCAGATCTTAGCTATGGTGAATTGTGCTGCTATGAACATAGGGGTGCATATGATAATATTAATTTTTGATGAAAAATATTGAACCCTCTATTGACCAATAGGGTCAATAATTAATACCTTATTAGGCCAAATTCTATTTGGTAAGTTTTCTTTTGCCTGATTAGACCACTTGCTAAAGCTCCTTTCCTACCTGCCAAAGAGCACATGCCTTTTTCCTCTTATTTTCTTATGTACTGATATATTAAAACATATTATTTTGAAACTCCCTGTTCTCTACTTTCAGTTTGTGTTGTTAGAACAACACTGATCTTCCATAATTTTTACCTAACTTTTATCTAGGGTGGCATTTTTTCACTCCTTAACTTGTACCCATTTCTTAAAAGTATTCCAGCCCTGGCCTGGTTTTCTCAGTGGATAGAGCTTTGGCCTGCAGACTGAAGGGCTGTGGGTTCTATTCCCAGTCAAGGGCACATACCTGGTTGCAGGGCTCAATCCCCAGCCCAGGCAACCACTCGTTGTGTCTCTCCCACATCAATGTTTCTCTCTCCCCCTCCACTCTCTACAAAAATCAATGGAAAAAATATCCTCAGTTGAGGACTTAAAAAAATCTATATTAATAAAAGGGTAATATGCTATTTAGATTTCTTCCAGATGTCCTTCTGGACAAAGCCCTGGTGGTGGGGGCCGAGGCAGAGGTGGTTAGGGGCGATCAGGCAGGTAGGTAGAGTGGTTAGAGGCAATCTGGCCGGCAGGGGAAAGCGGTTAAGGGCAGTCAGGCAGGCAGACAGAGGTGTTAGGGGCGATGAGGCAGGCAGACAGAGGTGTTGGGAGTGATCAGGCAGGCAGGCAGGCAAGCAGTTAGGAGTCAGTGGTCCCAGATTGCGAGAGGGTGCAGGCCAGGCTGAGGGACCCCTCCCCCCGTGCACGAAATTTGGCCTCTAATAAATAAATAAAAGGTATCCCAGCTGATCCTGAAATGTAAAAGTGTGCCTTGAGTTGAAAAAGAAGTGAAAAGGCATAGGTCTGTAGATAACTTACTGATGAGCATGGAGGCAGTTTATACTCCACTCCCACACCCCACACCCCATAAATAAAGACATTTTGGCTCTTGGTTAAAGAGGGGGTAATCATTATATTCAAAAAGTGCTTTTTCTCAAACAACTTAAATGGAAGTGAAGATAATTTGCTTTTAAAAAGTGTTAGAGCCCTAACTGGTTTGGCTCAGTGGATAGAGCGTCAGCCTGCAGACTCAAGGGTCCCAGGTTCGATTCTGGTCAAGGGCACGTATCTTGGTTGCGGGCACATCCCCAGTAGGGAGTGTGCGGGGGCAGCTGATCGATGTTTCTCTCTCATCGATGTTTCTAGCTTTCTATCCCTCTCCCTTCCTCTCTGTAAAAAAATCAATAATACATATATATATTTTTAAAAAGTATTAGGTGACTTAAAAAATGACTCCATGATAAGGAATATACTGATGTTGAAGGTGTGTATAACTATTTCAAATGGGTGTTTTGTGAAATATGAAGGTAAGAGAAAAGCAGTATTTCAAAATTGTCATGATTTATTAATGTTTGAAATCTATGCATGCATCTAAATTAATTTAAATTTCATAAGAAAGCATTTGGCTGTTTTATCTGTATCCCTAAAAGTTTCTATTCAAGTTGGCCAGAAAACAATGTTTTTTATATTCTTATTAGGAACATGGTGGATCACCTTATATTTGGGATTTCTGTTTATTCAGGCTTATGTAGTATTAAGTTATATTTATTGTACTTCATATAAGGTGAAAAGTGTATGATATGTTATGAGAGTTCTACCAAAAAAATGTTTTATCTTAAAGAAAAAAGCTCTGCTTATCCTGAAAGAACTTTAATTTTGTGAGACAATTCATTTCTTTAATAATTCTCAACATACAAAATGTTATATACTGATTAATAAAAAGACGTATACTTTGCTCTTTTTTAAAGGCTTTTAAAAAATTAAGACTTCTATCCAATAAATGAAGAACAAAAACCACCTTTTTATTTTTTACTCTTATTTACTTAGATCTACTTATTAGTTTTATGTTAATATAATCTATAGTGATTTATTTTTTCTTAATTCAAATAAAATTGCAGCTGTCCCTTTCCCCCCAACACATCGCTTGACATCTGAAGAAGTATTTGATATGGATGGGATACCTAGGGTTGATGTTCTGAAGAACCACTTAGTAAAAGAAGGTCGAGTAGATGAAGAAATTGCACTTAGAATTATCAATGAGGGTGCTGCCATCCTTCGGAGAGAAAAAACCATGATAGAAGTAGAGGCTCCAATTACAGGTACATTTATTTATGTTTTGGATATTATTTTTTTATCACACCATTATTTAATTGCCTTGATATAGAGCTGTCTCCTTTTTAATCATAGCATATACTGAATTAATATTACATGGACATTATCTTGAAATTTACATTATTTTTTAAAGTTTTCCCCTATTTTCAGTGAATAAATATGATCCTAAATAATCTGAGTGCAGAAGTTAGTCTAATATGCTATTTTGAAGGTTTCATTGGTTGTGTTGGCCATAATTCAGTTTGATTCAATAAATACTTATTTCCTTTGCTTTCTGTCATTAGGGACAAATACCTAAATATCATATCAGATACCAAAGATAATTATTTAGAAGTCTACAGAAAGTATTGAGTTAGATTGGCGTTTTTACTGCCATCATTATAATTTTGTCATCCTAAGACACACATGGTTGATTTTCTAAAGAGAAGCTTTATAAAATATAGATGAAAATTTTGTTGCTGGCTTCAAGTTTATTACTTTTGTTACATCTTGTTCTATATCTTGAGCACATGAACACTTGGGTACACAGCATCCCTATCATGATTCTTCACAGATGACTGCCTTCTCAGTCATGTCTTGATAGAATTTATACTATCCCTTATGTAAAATAAATTAGAATTTAAGTAAAATTTGTTATTTCAGAGTGTGGTTTTTTTTCATATCTAATAATCTTCTTGTTTCAGTGTGTGGTGACATCCATGGCCAATTTTTTGATCTGATGAAACTTTTTGAAGTAGGAGGATCACCTGCTAATACACGATACCTTTTTCTTGGTGATTATGTGGACAGAGGTTATTTTAGTATAGAGGTAATAATCATATACTGTCATTTGATTTGCTTTTAAGTGTAGTAAAATAAATTTCTTAAAGTACCTGTGTTGGGTTCTTTTTAATACCTCAGTATTTTCTGTGTTTTTAGGTAAAGCTACTATTTATTCCTTATTCTGTTATTCAAAATAATCTATTAATTTCCCTGTATTACTCTGTTTATATAATTGCCATTTTTCTCAGTGGAAATTATATGCAAACTGAGGGGTCTATATTGCCCTGTTATCTAGTAGCCCTAAGGAGTTAGTGCTATTTCTCTCTCTTAGCCCTAAAGGTATTAACCTGTGTGAAAGAAGAGTAATTGAATTTTCTCTGATTAAATAAAGCACATTATAATGCATTTATTGCTTAAACCCTAGTACTTGTATTCCTCCTTCTGTAGCTCTTAAGACCCCTAGTATATTATATGGAATCCTGTGTATTCTGAAATTATTCATTTGTTTTTAAAAACTTAAGAGGCATTAAAATGACCTGTTGATTATCACTTAATGGTAGATGATTCTTTTTCTACTTTTACTTTTCTAATTATATAAATAAAATCAGGTTAAAATAGAACAATATGTATTTTCTAATATATCTCCTTTTTAAAATTTTTAAAAAATTTATAAGATTACATTTCGGGCATATAACAATTTGACATTTATATACTCTCCTTTTTTAAAAATATATTTTATTGATTTTTCACAGAGAGGAGGGGAGAGAGAAAGTTGGAAACATCGATGAGAGAGATACATCGATCAGCTGCCTCCTGCACATCTCCTACTGGGGATGTGCCCGCAACCCCGGTACATGCCCTCGACCGGAATCGAACCTGGGACCTTTCAGTCTGCAGGCCGACGCTCTATCCACTGAGCCAAACCGGTTTCGGCTATACTCTCCTTTTTTGAATGAAAATGAGACTATATTATAATATTTTTCTCTAACTAGTTTTTTTTCACACACCCTTATACTGCGATGTATTCCAAGTCAGTAAATATAAATTTAAAGCATTATTTTTTCTTTTTTTAAAAATGTAAGTCTTTATTGTTGAAAGTATTACATAAGTCCCCTTTTTTCTCCCATTGGCCCCTTCTAGTCTGCCCTATTGCCGCCCACTGCCCACCGCCCCCCCTCCCCCAGGCCTTCACCATCTATTGTCTATGTCCATGGGTTTATGCATATGTAATACAAGTTCTTTTGTTGATCTCTTCCCATCCACTCACCCCCACCTTCCCTCTGCGATTTGACAGTCTGTTCTATACAGCATCATTTTTAATAGCTGCATTGTATCCCATTGAATAAACAAACCACAATAGATTTAATAAACTCCTTATTGTTAGATACTTAAGGTGTTCTGCAGTTTTTTCCCATTACAAATGATGCTTCATTAAGCCAAGTTATTTATGCATCTTTGCATACTTGCCCAATTATTTCTGTAGGACAGATTCCTAAAGGTAAAGTTGCTGGATAAAAGGTCTACCAATAGATACTTGTGTTGAGCATTTTATATGTTCCAAGCATGTTCTAAGGACTTAACACACATTGATTAATTTCATCCTCACAACAGTGTTATGAGGTGAGTACTGCTATTTTATCCACTTTAGAGATGAGGAATTGCAGACTTGTAAAGGTTAAGTAAACTTGCCCAGGGTCACATTGTTAGTAATAGCTGCAGTCAGGCAATCTGACTCCAAGCCTATGCTCTTAACCCACCTCTCCTGGTAAATATTGAAGATTTAACCTGGTGACTTTCCATGCTGATTACCATTGTTGATATCCCTTTCTTCAGTTTTTTTGTCAACCTCCCTGAAGTATGCTAGGATACCTAGTGGCCAAGGGGGTTCAGCACTCTGTCCACTGAAATTTGCTTAGGAACTTTATTATCCTGAGTACTTCCTCCCATTCATAGTTTCATTATCAGCCACCTCAATCTTCCCTCAAGGCTTCAAGAAAAACAGATAATAGTCTTTAACAAAAAGACTGGGGGCTTTGACAAAAACAATAAACATTCTTAGGAAACTTATTTGGTAACTGAACATGGTGGTGTGTATGCCCTTGTTGCTGACTCTTAATACATTTTGTTATAAAAGGAAAATAACAAAGAATCAAAATATGCAAGAAGGACAGGTAATTCTTTAATATTTTTTAGTAAGTATTTTTCTGGTTTAATTCTTCTTGTGAATAAAATGGTGTAAATAGTTACATATTTCAGTAGACCTTAACTTGTTAAAAATAAAGTTTCTTTTTTCTTTTTATATATGTAATATAAACCAAGATTATTTCCATAGTAAATAGTCCTTCCTTATTTTTTTAACCAAATAAGTAAAATGTGACTCTGTTTCTTATGTTAAATCTATTTAGAGAAAGTATTAGTTTATTACAAATAAACATAAACGTGACTATTTCCTTCCTTAGGTAGCATGGCCTAATGCTTAACATCAGAGGATCAGAATTCTATCTCCATTACTTACAAGTTTCATGATTTTGGACAAGTTACTTAAACTCTGCTTTAGTTTCCTCAGTTGTAAAATAGAAATAATATTACATCATAGGGTTAGAGAAATAAGTGAGCAAGATTAATTTTACAGTGCTTGATAAATCGCAAGTACTCAATAAATGTTAGCTGCTATAATTTTTTACATTATTATTTGTTGATCTACCTAGGAAAGAGACCAACTTGCTAATTGTTTTTACAGCAAACAATTTGTAAATCTAAAGTAGTTAAATAGATTGACTCATTCATTCAACAAATATTTATTGATCTTCTTCTGTTGGCTAGGTACTTTTCTAGGAGTTTACATTTTAGTTAGGAACAGAGAAAAAAGATAATAATGAGTAATAGAGAATGTAAGTGTAATAGGGTTAGAGGAAAAAGAGCAATGATCAAGCATCTAAGTTAAACACAAATATAAGATAAATTCACTGGAAACATTTTCTTTTGCAGTGTGTCTTATATTTATGGGTCCTGAAGATACTATACCCAAGCACATTATTTCTTCTGAGAGGCAATCATGAATGCAGACACCTTACTGAATATTTTACCTTTAAGCAGGGATGTGAGTACTGCCATCAGAAATATTTTCACTTCCTCATTCTTTTTGGGTGACATGGATAGTAAGAGTTTGATGATTTTGTAGTATAATATATAAGAACAGATTTTGTGTACAAACATGTAAAAAATTGAAGAAGATTGTCAGGAACTCTCTAGTGTTTAATGGCATTTTATTCTAACATATGTCCTTAAGAACAGTTTTGAGTTTTATATATAGTAATATTAACAAGAAGGATAAAACTAAAAAGAAATTGTTGTTGCATTGACGATTATTGTCCCCCAATATTGAGGCATTCCTATGAAATTTCTTAACAAATTGTTCATCCTGTCATCATTGCAGATTTTTTGAAACATGCTATTAATGAATTGGCATCCTTAGCCTGTAATGTGTACCCCATTTCTCAAATTATTATAGCAGTGGTAATCGAATAGTTATAAGCAATCACATGGTATAGAACAGTGTTTGGCCATTTTTCACATTATAGCTGTGTGGTTGTTAAGTTAATAATTAAACCTTAGAGTTAAGTTCTAAAAATAGGTAATTTCAGAATTATTGAGACTCAAACATGATTCAGTAAAGATCATATTAGTAGACACTTCCAGTAAAGGAAGAAAAAGTGGTAGGTAATTGCAGACAGGCAAAGTCATATAACTTCAAGGATCAGGCAAATAATCTAAATGAATATGAGAAAGTCCATGCCTTACCTAAAAGCAATCAAATTAAAATTTGCCTTTTCTAAAAGCAACCAAGCAATCAAATTAAAATGTTTATTAAATCACTAGAGGCTTGGTGCACAAATTCATGCACCAGTGAGGTCTCTCAGTCTGGCCTGCGGGATCGGGCCAAAACCAGCTCTCCGACATCCCCTGAAGGGTCCCAAATTGTGAGAGGTCGCAGGCCGGGCCAAGGGACCCCACCAGTGCACTATCAGGATTCGGGAGGGACGCGGGAGGTTGACCAGCCAGGGAAGAACCACAGGAGGGCTCCAGGGCATGTCTGGCCCATCTGCTCAGTCCCGATCATCCAGACCCCAGCAGCAAGCTAACCTACCAGTCAGAGCATCTTCTCCCTGGTAGTCAGTGCACGTCATAATGACTGGTCGACCAGTTGACTGTCTGCCCCCTGGTGGTCAGTGCACATCATAGCGAGCGGTTTA